AAAAAAAAAAAAAAAAAGAAAAGAAAAACAGATAGAGGTTGTCACTAGGGGGTGAGGGTATGTAGCTAAGGAGACAGTATTTTGAGAAGCCTGAAGAAAACCGAGGAGAAGGAATTGAGGTGGGAGAAGAGGCATGATCTGTGCCCAAAGGGTACCGGCAAGTCGTTGGGGTGGGGAGGGAGCTCTTGGTCTTTGTGTCCACCTGGATTTCCTTATGGATGGTTCTAAACCAGACACGGACTAAATGGCCCTTGAAGTCATGATTTCTCTCTTTTCCCATCCTTTGTACTAAACAATCTGTCGGCATTTATAATCCCCATTTAAACCAGTGTTTCTGAATAGAAACATCCCACTTTGGCAATCCCTTGATTGCTGCTCTCATTACCATCCTACTCCCAATAATATTTTTAGACTGCTCTATCACTGCTTTTTCTTTTGAGGAGCTCCTAACTTCAACATCTTCCAGTTCTTCACATCTAAGTAACAGAGCCTCGAACTACGCAAGGTTACTTTTCTATGCTGGTGTGGTCTGGAGAAAAGATTTTTTGCAGAAGCCTCGGGGCCAGGCTTGCTGACCTGCTTTTCCTCCCATCCACAGAGAACGGAACTCCCTGGCTGACCTTCATGGGCTGCCTGAAGAACTGTGCCAACGTGAAAAACATAAAGTGGAGTGTCTATTTGGTGACTTTCATGTGCTGCAGGGGCCACGACCTGTGCAATGAAAATCTTTAGAAGTTGCTGGTTCTTCTGCGGCTCCAATGTCTGGCTGGGGTTGTTGTCTCACACTCTTCACAATGACATCGTAAAAACCTGCTTCTTTCTTCCCTTCTATAGCAAGACATTTTAATATTTTTCACGTTTTTTCCTCTCTGTATTATTCTTCTTGTCCACTCCAGTTAAAGCACATTAACACTGGCGTCGTGGAGGGGGGTGGCAACATGAAAATAAATAACTTGAGTCCTCCTGGGTTTTGTTCATGAATGCTGTTCCCAGGGTCGGGAGAAGACTAGGACGTAGAAATGACTTTGCACCAGAACCGCGAAAAGGGAAGGACTTTCTGCCTTCTGGAATGAGCCTCCTTTTGAGGCTAGGAGTTGGAGAAGGAATCCGTGGGATTCTAGAGATAGTACCTGCCCCAGCTTCCCCAGCAAACGCATCAACCCCTAGACAGGAAAAGCTGCAGGACGCTTCCAAGGAGATGAGCCCACCAGCAGCAGCTCCCAAAGCATGGCATGGAGGAAGCTGAGAGCCATGGGGTCTGGGGAAGACATTTGTGTCTGGCCACTGGGCACCTCATCAGCAACTGCTGTGGACAGAAGTTCCATGCCCAGATGCCTCCCCCACTGCACCTCCGTGTCACACACACTCAGGCTTTCCAGTGTATAATTCTAGTATCCTGGGGAAAATGGGGGTGGGTTGGAACAAATCTGCTCACAAGAATTGAGGCTGTTTTCTAACAAACTGGTAGAATGAAGCCTGGAAAGAGTGATTAATTGCTATTATAAAAACATAAAGAAAGCTACCTTTCTTCCATACCCAAATTGTGTTTCCTTTTTTGTCTTCCCGCCAAACCCTTCCTTAATTCCTTTAACAAACATGTATTCAAAACATGCTATGTTCCAGGCACTGCCAGACTCTAGGACACAGATGTTGTGATCCCTGCCCCTATCCCCATCAGCTTAGTCTGATGGGAAAGACAGACCTTAGAGGAACAATAGCTCACGCTTACATGACAATCACCATGAGGCACTGCTATAAATACTGTATATCTTCTGACTCGTGTTCTTCATACAAACCTGAGCAGCATACTACTGCCCATTTGGGTCAGCCAGTAAACAGAAAGAGCTCCAGTTATTTTTTACAAAGAGACTTTAAAATGAAGAATTGTTAACCAGGCATTGAAGGACAGAAAAGGCCAAAGGGAAATGTTGAGTTAACGGATAGAAGTTGGAAGAAGCAGCTAAAACTCATAGGTCTAAGGGGACACAGGGAAAAGGTTGGGGTAATTAGACCTTAGAAGCTTGGAGAGGGAGCCAAGGGAGCCCCCTTTGGAACTGGGACCCAGGCATCTCAGGAAGGGTCTCCAAGAAGATAAAATGCATTTGTCTGGGGAAGGAGTACTGGAAGGAGTTCAGCTGGTGCTAGTATCCCTGTGGGAGCACCATGAAGCTGGCTCCAGAAGTGTGGGGTGGGGGGAAAACCACAAAACGGAAACAACTGTAGCCCTGAAACCAACTGCCACTGCCAACTGTTGGGAGAAACAGGAGAAGATGTGTCCCTTCTTCCTCCTCTGGCCTTCTAGTCTCCCTCTAGCACTCTCTTGCTGGCAGAGTTAGCAGGGATCTAGCTTGCAAAGCCAGCATCATAAAGCGCAGTATGGAAGCATGAGTTTGAAGCTGAGAGACAATCATTTAATAACCAGCTCAGCCACCTCTTTGGCCATTCAGTCTGCACACATCCTTCTACATGTACTTGAACTCCATTTAACGAGAAAGAGAAGACAAGACACTTTTTGTCTTAAGACAGAGAGTCCCAAAGTCATCTCTATCTCAGAGTGATAGCCTGGATATTCGTTTCTGTGCAATGTTAAATACTCGTCACATCCATTTAATTCCACCTGTCGACTACCACCAAGTCCCATGTCAAACAGCAAGGAGATAGAGGAAAGAGAGAAAGAAAATACGGCAAGAAAGGAAGAAGGTGCACACAGCTACCCAGTGTTTATTTTTGTAACCAGTAATGAAGCTACAAGTGATATTTATAACTTTCTTCTTTTACTACCAATTCTATGTTTTGTTTCCCTCAACTAGCACCTCACAAGTTCAGGATTATCTACCCAGAGTGATGATGAAAATCTTTATTTTTAAAGGGTTTGAATCTTCAATGGCCTTGCTTTTTTTAGTTGCAGAGTTTTATATTTATTAATACTTTGACTATCAGACAGGAAGGATGAAGTAGCACTTCAGAGAGTCTCCTGTATTCCAGAATGGTTATCCCTACTTCCTTATGCAACAGCAATCCAATTCCCCGCCAGTGGAGTAACCCTTATGCTTATCATGGCATGGAGGAAAAAGGAGCCTCAAATGGTCAGACAGCTTTCAAATCATCTGATGCACTGTTATGTTCCCTAGTGGAAGCATTTCTCCCTTGGTAACTAAGACTTCCAAATGAGCAAAAATCAAAGTCGCTGGGATGGGAGAATTTATTACCACTTTGACATCTTGATTCTGACTATGGGAAAAGCAGAACCATATATTAGTTGCTGATTCAGAGCATACGCTGCATCTAACATATAATGTAATCTTTTCAGAGTGTTTTCTCCAAAATTACAGTTTAACTGAGATTTCTTTGGACCATTCCACCATTCCATCAGGCTAGTAGCTTCTGATGATGGGGTGCATGGTAAGATAAGTGACTTGTGTGGGCATGAATACATTACTACACCTCTTTGTAGTGAAATGAGCTCCTTGCTTGGAATTAATGCTGTGTGAAAAATCCTGATGGAGAATAAGGCATTCTGTAAGTCCACAATGAATGGTGCTGGCAGTAGAATTATTATTATTAACAGGAACATCCATATCTAAAATATGTGTTTATTCCAGTGTGGATAAATTCTACCCATGATGAACAGGTGCTGGTGTGGATGTGAGAGAAGGGAACACTTATACACTGTTGGCAGGACTGCAAACCAGTACAGCCTCTATGGAAAATAGTACGGAGATACTGCAAAGAACTAAAAGTAGATCTACCGTTTGATCCAGCAATCCCATTATTCGGTATTTACCCAAAGGAAAAAAGTCATTTTATCAAAAAGACACATGCACTCAAATGTTTTTTGCGGTTTTGTTTGTTTGCTTATTTGTTTGTTTTTGAGACAGAGTCTCACTCTGTTGCCCAGGCTAGAGTGCCTTGGCATAAGCCTAGCTCACGGCAAACTCAAATTCCTGGGTTCAAGCCATCCTTCTGCCTCAGTCTCCTGAGTAGCTGGGACTACAGGCATGCGCCACCATGCCCAGCTAATTTTTTCTACATATTTTTAGTTGTCCAGCTAATTTATTTCTATTTTTAGTAGAGATGGGGTCTCAGTCTTGCTCAGGCTGGTCTTGAACTCCTGAGCTCAAACAATCCACCCACCTCGACCACCCAGAGTGCTAGGATTACAGGTGTGAGCCACCGTGTCCAGCTGCACTCAAATGTTTATTGCAGCACAATTCACAATCACAAAGATGTGTAATCAATCCAAGTGCCCATCAATACATACATGGATTAATAAAGTGTGGTATGTGTATACTATGAAGTACAATTTGAGCATTAAAAAATGGTGAACTAATACCTTTTGTAACAACCTGAATGGACCTGGAGACCATTCTAAGTGAAGTACCACAAAAAACGGAATAACCCCATGTACTCACTATTAAATTGGAACTAATCGATCAATGCCATGTATACATAGGGTAGTAAAACTCAATGGAAAGCAAGCAGGTGGGAGGAGGAGGAGGGAGGAGGGGATGGTTAAATTTACACCTAATGGGTATGATGCATGCTATTCTTGGTGATGGGCACACTTACAACTTTGACTCAAACTGCACAAAATCAAATCATGTAATCAAAATTTTTGTACCCCCATAATATTCTGAAATTAAAAGAAAAAATTAAAGCATTCCCGCTTAGAACTGGAAGCAGACAAGTTGCTCATTGTCACCACTCCTATTCAACACAGTGCTGGAAGTCCTAGCCAGAGCAATCAGGCCAAGAAAAGGAAATCAAGGGCATCCAAATGGGAAAAGAAGAGGTCAAACTATTGCTCTTTGCTGATGATACGATCTTATATCTAGAAAACCCCAAAGATTCTGCCAAGAAACTCCTGGAATTGATAAATAAATTCAGCGGAGTCTCAGGTTACAAAACCAATGTGCACAAATCAACAGCATTTCTTTACACCAACAGTGAAGCTGAGAATCAAATCAAAGACTCAATACCTTTCACAATAGTGACAAAGAAAATAAAATACCTAGGAATATATTTAACCAAGAAAGTTAAATATAGACTCTATAGGGAGAACTATCTCTCTTCAAACATAGAGAACAATGTAGAAATTGCTTGCCTAAAATCATGGCCTTCCCAAAGCAAAAAAAATGCAGTAAATTCAAAACTTAAGCTCAGACTCTGTGCAGCCAATCATTGAGTATCATATCGCCATGGCTTTGTTGCTTAAAAATACAGGATCCATGGCCTCATTCTTATGCACCTGAGCCTCCAGGCAGGGTTTGAAGCAGGAAGATGAATAAGTAAGACTGAGTAACACTGAGCTTGTTAATGCTAATTTTATCCTCATGGCTGATGAAATAAATTATAATTTATTCAGAAAAATATTTATCTCTGTAAATTGATACTTACATTTGGGATAAGCCAGTCTCTAACTGGGCCCCCCATGATGGAAGAGATATTATTTTACCTTGCATTGCTGGGAAGAGCTTAAGGGGAATGGGATGTCAAGAGCTGAAACCACCCTTTGCTCTTGCTCAATTCAGACAGCTAAAGCCCGTCCCAGACTGTCCTCCTTAGACACATGCCCTGAGCCTGCAGCAATGTTGATCAACTCATTGCTGTGGAAAAAAACCTCTATGAGCTACTGAATACCACTATCATACTGCTAGGAATGGACAGGTCTAACCTATTCCTAACTTCATTCCTTTGACAAGTATATTCCAGATGCCCTCCATCTGCTAGGT